ACCCCACCTCGAATATTCTTGCGATTTAGCCACATCCGACTATTTTCTGTTTCAAACACTGGGTAGTACCTACAGCATAGGTTTGCAAAAAAAAGTGTATGCATTTTAAACCCAACCTATATACATATCCCTCTGTTATTCGACATGCTGAATAGGGAAAAATTCATTGAATAAACCTGAAAATTCAATAAAATACTTCTGGATTTGACCTTGGGATGACCTTGGCATGACCTTTAGATGACCTTGAGGAATCAAGGGACCCCATATTCGGATTCAGACAAAGACAAATTTTTTTTATTGAATAAATTTGTGTTGTCCTATTTGACCCCCAACTGACCACGAACCTGACATGATGGAGCCTAACAGACCTCGTTTAATATGCATAAACTTTTTTTTTACCTGTGTTTTAGGCATACCTTTTTCTACCGATGAAATCATAAATTTACAAAAAAAAAANATTTCTTATATTTCTGTAAACAGCTTATTGTCCATTGAACTCACAATTTTACTTCATACTTTACTTTAGAAGCCTGATTACATTCAAAAATGATTCTTATTATGACTCATAAACAGTGTAGCTGAAATGTGTCAATACTGCAACATTTATAAAGAAACACATATGTAGTATATGCATGTATGTATAAAGTCTTATCTCTCAGCAAATATTTTGCCAATTATACGAGAGCAATTTGGTAAGTTAGAGATTTTTTGAATTTCCCGTGTAGCAGTTTTAAATGCAACACTGCCCCTGTCAACTAACATCTTTTAAAATATTACTGTCAAATTTCGAGCGAACTACGTCATTTAGATTGCGTTTGACTGACGTTGAAAGAAGATAACTTGGTGAATTTTTAGGAAAATAAAAAACTGGTTTTAATCTATAACTTGTACGAGCTGCTACCCCACCTCGAATATTCTTGCGATTTAGCCACATCCGACTATTTTCTGTTTCAAACACTGGGTAGTACCTACAGCATAGGTTTGCAAAAAAAAGTGTATGCATTTTAAACCCAACCTATATACATATCCCTCTGTTATTCGACATGCTGAATAGGGAAAAATTCATTGAATAAACCTGAAAATTCAATAAAATACTTCTGGATTTGACCTTGGGATGACCTTGGCATGACCTTTAGATGACCTTGAGGAATCAAGGGACCCCATATTCGGATTCAGACAAAGACAAATTTTTTTTATTGAATAAATTTGTGTTGTCCTATTTGACCCCCAACTGACCACGAACCTGACATGATGGAGCCTAACAGACCTCGTTTAATATGCATAAACTTTTTTTTTACCTGTGTTTTAGGCATACCTTTTTCTACCGATGAAATCATAAATTTACAAAAAAAAAATGACGGATTGCCTAAAACAAAATGCATATAGCTTTTAATAGATTTTCAAAGTGTCTTCGTAGTATAGTATGTATTTCGTAAAATGTTAAAGGTTTGAAATTCCTGTAACGTCAAATACTTGGAATCAGTAACAGAGTTTAAAACCTACATAATTTATTTAAAAAAATTTAAGAAATAATTTCGGCGGCGCGTTATTTTGAAACTAACAACGTAAGGCGTTATCGAAAGTGTTCATTTGGTGCTTTACTAATAGTCGACATTGGTCATGATAACAAAGAAAACATGGATTACCTCGTTAGGTGCTTACTTATTTTCCCAGTACATATGTATATGTAAAATTAATTAACTTATAAGAGAATTTTTCAAAAAACTCTCACACTTTTCTTATAGAACGCTGTTAGTGGTGCACCCTATCTATTTTTAAGTGCAAAAATATTAATGTGCGTAAGTACTCAATGCGATAAAAGGCAGCGAAAAATTAAAAACAATGTGCTAAAATTTTATGACTTTTTTACGTTCATACAACAAATGGGTATCACAAAATGTGCTAAAAGTAGAAAACTAAATTCCAACTAATAAAAAATTAAGCTCTTAAAAGAACTAAAATACGAAACATATGTATGTAATCTAGACATAGAATTCATAACAAAGGCATAAAAACCAAAACAAAGTAATAACTGCAGCCAGTAAGATGTTTTTTTTTATTCCTACATTTTTTTGGAATATATGTACATAAATATGTACCCACTGGGATGTCGTCATGTATAGTGATAAAGCCAGGAAACATTTTTCTCTTTTTTTTGCCGAGGCTAGGGGTCGCCTTTTTACATTTTTCGGTGACACCTATGAACTATTTTTAAACAGTTCTTCTACTGGACTAATGGAAATACTCCCTAAATAAAGTTTAATGATTTTTGGCGAACTTTAATTTATTGCCGTTGGGTTGGTCGAAACTGAGATCCGCTGGGTAAGTGCAGAACGGGTTACTTGAGGTCAATGAACTTTGGAAACGAAAAAATGTCTGCTCTGGACAAGAGCATCGATTTATCACACTTTATGATCCCACGGTAAATGCTGAATATATGTATGACGAAAAATTTAAAAAATTTGGCCAAATATAAAAAACTAATTTTATCGAAACTACCTTACTAAAATACTTTAGACTGGGGGATGTAAGGTGAATTTATTTTCAGGTGCGGTCTAATCTACCATGTACAAATGTGTATGTTTACCTATATGTGCATTAGACTTATCTGGTAAGATATCCGTAAGTCCAGATAAGTCATCGTCACACCAAGTGGGTACAACTAATATATGGGTCATTCTATGCAATATTTACACCCCAACATTTTTTTTCGAGTGAAGTATATATTTTTACATTCTTTATCGAAAAAAAGAAGCTACCTATTTTTTTATTTCGTCATGATATTCGAAAATCTCGAAAAACAAGTTCCCGAAATTTTGAACTCACGGAGAAGTATCTTCTTTCAATTGTTTGCTGTTGATAAACTATTTGTCGGAGAAAATCTGTTAAGGTATCAACATGTGCGTAATTACCTCGGCTTTCCATGAGAGTGTGAGATAGATTAAAACAAAAAAAGGCATTAAAAATCGATTTTTTTCATTTTTTTTTTTTTTTTTTATTAACTTCTTCATGGTTGATTTTTATTTTTTTCCACCTGAATAGTTGTCAAACTTTATGGAGTAAGCTGTAAACATTTTAGACTTTGACTTCTCCGTGAGTATAAAATTTCGGGAATTTTTTTTTAGATTTTCGAATATCATGACGAAATAAAATAATAAGTGTCTTCTTTTTTTCGGTGAAGAATGTAAAAAAAAATATATTTCACCCCAAAAAAAATATTGAGGTGTAAATATTGTATGGAATGACCCATATATACAATATAATTTTAATCACGTGATTAATCGATTCAAGTATGTATTACATTCTCGCTTATCAATCGAATTCTTTAGGCTAGGTACATAACCCAGCGGATTAAAATCGCTAATAGCTATCAAATATACAAATTCATATGGCGGTGTTTATGGTGCAGCGATGAACAGTCAGTAGCTTACCGACAGTAGAACGATGTACTCAGTTCCAAGTAACCGGTTATTAAAGCACAAGAGGTATGAAATGACTTGGACCATTTTCAAAATTATGGTCACATATGTACATATGTATGTATGTACGTACAGGGTGGTCCACATATTAGTTTATTTTTAAAAATCCAAAACAAAATGAACTAACAAAAAACATTTTTTTCGGTATATTATTGGCTTATTCGAATGAGCAAATATTCCAATTATTTATGGAACACGATTTCATTCATGTAGCTGCCTCGGCTAGCTTCGCAGTAGCGTATCATCTTAACGTAGTTTTCCAAGACCTTGGTGACGATTTCTGGCTCTATCTCACAAATGGCTTGCTCGATATTCGCCTTGAGGGCCGGATTCGTTGATGGATTTTTCCCATAACATCGGTGCCTATCTGCACTTATTTTCAACATATTTTCAGTGGAGATAAGGCATTTTTTAAGCAAATTCTAAGATAGGTCGTTCTTCAGTCAAATTCTGAAGCAGGTCGTTCTTGTAAAGTTTTCTGAGGTAGGGCGTTTTCGAGCCGGCTGTAGAGTTAGTTCAATCATCCACTCAGCCGTCGATATACGCTCAAATGTTCTCTTCATTCCAGCGTAGTTCCAAATAGGGTAGCCACCTAATTTTTAGAGTAAACAATTTACTTATTTTGTAAGATTCAAAAGGCATATTATTTTTTTTCAAAATTTTTGATATCGAAGCCTTGAGAACTGTAAAAAGTATATGCACTCCGAGCAAAGCTCTGTCAGCCTGGTACTTATCCAGTAATATCGAGAGTGATTGAGAACTTCATATGGTACGCAACTAGTCATTTTAATCTAACCCAAGCTCGGATTTGGGAATCGTTAATTTACAGAAATTGATAAATGTAAAAGGATGACGTACATAAATACCACTCGAGCTACTTTTTCAGGTCCTTTCCCGCTTTAACTACATATTTCGTTGCGACTTTTGGCATAAAGCCAGTATTTTTATTGCTACTTTCCGATGAAAAACCAAGGCGGTCTCCTATGAGATCAACACTGGGTTTTTGACCTTTTAAGAATCTCCAGTTCACTTCATCTACAAACTTTTCTGAGCATCGTCCTCAACCCACTCTAAAATTTATTTCAACATTTTTGTTATTTATCGAATAATGGAGGTTAAGACTTTCAATGAAAATTAAATGGATTGGCGCCTTAGAAAATCATGTTTTGCTTCTATACATACATGCAGTAAAAACAATAAATTCCAAATGATATATTCACCATAAAACTAAGTATTATCATATGTGCAAAATTCAATTCACGTTTCAAAAAACGAACGGCTACGCGATGAGTAACGCGCCAACAGCTCGCATATTCACACATAATAAAGTGGCTCACCACGATGTTTCAATGCAAATACTTAAATATGTATGTACTTATATCTGTGTATACAGACATATTTAAATACGAGTATCATACGCAGATGCAGATGTGAATATCCAACCTTTGTGTTTTACAACATTGTGAGTCAGCGCAGCAATAACAAAGTAAAATATACCAATTGTTTACTTCCATATGTTTCTTTCTTAACAACATAAACAATTGATCATTTTGTGATTGCGATCATTTCCAAGCAAAAAGAAAAGTAACCAAAAAGCGCTACTTTGATTTTCTTATGTCACGAAATTTTATTTATCTCCAAACTTAACCAAATAAGCGAAGAAGTAATGGTATTGAGGACTTCTCTTTCACCTCTTCCTTGACATTTGCTGATTTTTCAGCTTCAGCCGCTTCAGCAATGACTTCAAGATTTGGATTGTTGAAAGATTTCGTTGAACCGAAATTAAGGCTTCGAGAAGTTGCGACGAAAACAATTGTGCCATTAGGTAGTAGGACGGGGAACCTGCCGCCAAAGGCAAAACCAGGAAACCCACCAAAACCAGGAAAAGCACCAAAACCAGGAAAAGCACCAAAACCGGAAAAAGCACCAAAACCAGGATAGCCACCGTAGCCCGGATAGCCCGGATAGCCCGGATAGCCGCCATAACCAGGGTAACCACCATATCCAGGATTACCGGCATAACCAGCATTACCGCCATATCCACCAGCGTAACCACCATAATTATAATCACCACCATAAGCTGGCCGATGGTGTAGAGGCTGTGGTGTTGTGTATGGCTGATGTGTGGGCACAACTACTTGCAGATATGGTTTGCCGCCACCATGAAATTTGGCTGTTCCAGGCAACTGCTCTCTATGATGCGCATGCTGCTCTCCTTTGGTAGGGTTAGTTTCACAGGAGCTTGCGGCTGTAGATTCCAAAACGGTGTTGGAGGCCTTAGTCGGTTGGCGGGCGTTCTTGACTTCTTCTTGTGCCCGTGCTTCCACGGTAACTGTTTCAGCTGGTGCTTCACTCGCAGATTCAGCTTTTGCGTTGTCTGTCTCCACTTTGGAGATGGTATTTGCTATACTTTCCACTTGTTTTTGTTCCTTTTCAGTTAATTTATCCAAATCCTTTTTTACTACTGCTCGCTCTGCTATAGCCTCTTTAGCAACATCTGCCTGGGTATGCTTTTCATTGAAGGAGTTGTTGTCTAGTGCAACCACAAAGGCAACTGAAAGCGCTAGAAAAATATGGAAAAAATATTTATACAAACATATCTATTTAAATTTTAATTAAAATGCTTTCCCACTTACCCAAAGGTAGGCAAAAAACTATGCTCCACTGCATCTTTCCAAAAATGTACTACCCATTCTGAGTGCATTTCTCTCGCTTTTATACAAAATCTGTGATCTGTGGCATGGAAAAATTTTTACACTGAAGCTAAAGATTTTGTTGACATTTCTATGTTAAAAACATGTAAATTATTATAATAAATTTGATTAAAAAAAATTAGTTAATCCCGTCTTGTACCAAAAAGCGATTCAGAACTATGTAAATTTTTAAAGACCTTTTTAAAATACTTATCTACATATATATGTGTGTCCATATCTATGTTTTACATATGTAAATGCATCGTTGCAGCCTATTTGAAATACTAAATATTACCTCTTAGTTGGCTCCATGCAAATGTCATAACAGATTATGGCCTCGTTTGTTCTTCAACAGCATGGCTATATTACCATACAAATCGCTTTTCGATAAGTGGGAAGCTATTTATGTATTTACGGTAACTTTCTTCAATATTAAAAAAAAAATAGTTCTGAGAATTACTGAGACATCATAATAAATAAACAAGTAAAGAAGTATGTATAAGTTCAAGCGAAACCGAATATTATGTACCCGGCGCTTGTATTAAATATTGTTCTTTCGCCTTTCTGTAAGACCTTACAGAAAAGAACTTTCAAAAAATCCCTTTTGCAATTAAGCTTAGTATCCAGTTCTTAAAATAACGGTCAAGAAAAAATGTGCAATTATTTCGTGAGTGTCTCCAAAGGAATTTTGACATCTACATCTGATATTTCACAGCCTGTTGCCTCACTCTTTCCTCAAGAAATAATGGAACGGGCATATATTTAGTCTGTGCCAATAGCAATCCTCTTGACAGGATTTAGTCAGACCTTACAGGAAGTCGTTCCTATTGACATAAGACCTGTAAGTGGTAACACTTTTGAGAGAGTAACTGAGCAACTGTTCCTAGTCAGAAGTTACAGGATTTAGTCCGGAGTTTTTTTTCCTGTAAGTTCATGAAAAGTGTCAAACGATCAGCTGATTTACATGTGCAAACAAAAACAGAAGTCGGTGAAAGCAAAGAACCTTATATTTGTTAAATAAGGGAAGTAAACAACGAAATATTTGAATATCAGCCGGGCTCCCGTTTCCGAATTCGCAAAAATTTTGCGTTTTAGTTGTCAAATCGCATAATTGCGCGCTCTCACAATCGTATATCGCAAAATTTTCGCGGTTTCAAATCGGAGACTTTAGACTTAGTGGAATGAAAAGTAAATGAAGTTGCACGCTTAAATAACCGATTTATAAAAGCTTGGACAATTTTTATTTATTAAAAGAAATTCTTAAGATACATTTCGCGTACTTAAAAATAAATATTATATTTAATTTATTTTTTAATTTAATATTTACGGACCACATCACAAATTTTTCTGCAGCAAAATTGCCGAAACAACAACTGTTTGCGATTTGATTCAATCGATAAATCGATTAACTTCGCCAAATAATCGGTATGTAATTGAGGACGCCATTATTATTATTTGTTGAGAGGCGTTCTTGCACAGTATANCAGACAAATTTCTGTTGCAAACATGGATTGCCTTATTCTCTTTTTCGACAGAAAGCTTTAGAAAACCGTAGTAGAATATAGGGATGGGTAGTGAGGGTTGCAGTTCGATTTTTGCCGAATTTCGAATATTGTCCAGCCATTCAATTATTCGATTCGAAATTTGGTGTAACAAATTCGATTTTATTCGAATTTTCAACATTTTTTTTTCTCTGAAAATTTAAAAATTTGTAAGAATGGTAACTCAAATCGAAAAAGAGATTCAATTGAACTTACATTAATGTGATTAATTACCCGCACCGCTCTTCTTAGCTTCACAACCATAAATAAATACAAATCAGAAGTATTCTTATCTCAAATAAATATCTCAAAAATATAAAAAAAAAAAAAAAAATTTATCAAATTTATCATGTATGTATTTATTTTAGTATCAATTTAAAAAATTTACAAAATGTTTATTGAAACTAATTTTTTGGGATGTATAACGTGCAGTTCCGCATTATCTCCTTTCCGATGGAAAAGAAATTATCGAAATCGGTCGAGTTAGGCGGTAATATACATAAAAAATATAATAAAAATGAAAAAACAAATAAAAAAAATATTCCGACGAACTGATAACCTCTCGTTTTTTGGAAGTCGGTTAAAAAGCAGCTAAATCGGCCTATAAATAAGTAAGATATAGGACTTTTTATTTTTTTACGCGGAAGACTTTTCGCTGGAATCGCCCATATGTATGTATTATAGTTACGGTGACCATCCGTTCTGTTTTTTGCAGGACCGTACTGTTTTTCAAAGGTCGGTCCTGCGTAGTTTTTCAAACCTAAAAACCCTGAAAATGTACTGTTTTTTTCAAGTTTCCTGCATTTGTCCCACATTTTATTCGTTATTTTAAAATTATCGGACAATGGATGGATTTTTTCAAAAAAGTGTTTTTTGGTACTTTTCGTAGCTTTTCTTCAATATCTCATGAAAAAATCTCCCAATCAACATAAGCGACTTACAGCTCGTAGGGTACTGATGTGCCTCTTACCAAAATATATATCTTGTGGCGACTTCAATGAAAATTATTAGTGCTACAGGCGACCATTTGCATTTTGTCGTCAAAGTCGAAAAAAGTGAGAGTTTCAATCAAATACGCAGTTTTATTTGATTATTTTTTTTCATTAGTTTAAAAATTCGATAAATTATATATATCACTATAGTATATTTTTAGCCACAGATAATGAAAATCGGATTAGAAATGTAGATGCTATGAAGCGCAATCTGCACAAATTATATATTTTTGTAAAGGGCACATAAATACCTTTGTAACTCGTTGTTTACGTCGACTCATGAGGTCGATTTTTGACAAATAACTGCGAAAAGTGCCAAAAACAAAAAACAAAAAAAGGGTATTGTTTTCGTTTTGAATGACTCAAAATTTGCCTATAAAATAATCTTTTAAAGATTTTCACTTTTCGTGTAAGCTATTGTTAACCGACTTCCAAAAAAGGAGGAGGTTATCAGTTCGTCGGAATTTTTTTTTTTTTTTTATTTATGTTACCGCATAACTTTGCACCACGTCAACCGATTTCAATAATTTTTTTTGCAACGGAAAGGTAGTGTCTCAGAGGTCAGATTGGTTTAGATCCGATCATTGGATCATGAAATATATAGATGTATATATATTTTTTTTAAGTCGGTTTTTTTTTGCTAAAAATTACCTGTAATTATAATGTGTTTTACTATACTTTTATAAATACTCATGTAAAACAAGATTAATATCGATGAAGAAAACGTGATTCGTTTTTAAAGTTTAAAATGTATTAAGAATTTAGAATCATAAATACTCTTTTGATATTTTTATACTACGTAAATATATGTAGACATATTTTTGAAAAATTGTCCTTCATTTTGAATCCATATTTATGGTCACCGTAATTATAGTGCATCTGCAAGGACAAAAATATATATCGCCACATCTAACAAATACCAAACTTTTTATTTGGTACAAAATACATATGTATGTATATGCGTTTGAAGTAAGCTAATGCCTGCATTTTTCTTCTCTTTGTAGGCTTTTGCAGAAATAAATTGTTAAAGGTAAGCACTAATTGATTGCTAATTATGTTAATTTTTTACATATATTTACACATACATGCATACCCAGTACGCGAATTTTTGTACTCATTTAAAATACCATTTCAGAGTCTAGAGCCATAAATCATTTACAAAAATATGTATTCAAATTTAATCAATAACCAACGAAGGCAGTAGTGTTGTGTTAATTTTGAGTATGTAGTACATACGTATGTATGTATGTATATAAAATGCCATTTCGTTTATGCACATAAATGTACAGTGTACGTTTTACACATATACTCGTAACTATGTATGAATATATGAGTGGTGAAGCTTTGCTTTATTGACTAAAAAAAATATGATTTTAATAGTCTTTCTACTTGCGATTTCTTTAAATAAAACATGTGAATTTTAGTTTAAACATTTTAGCCGGTTTTAGCCGCTTTTTTTGTCAATATAGCCGATCGGCCCAAAAAGTTCTGGCAACACTGATCATATTGCTAAACCAGTGCTAGTTCCATTTAAACGTTGTCTCTTAAGTTTACCATTTTCTTTACATTCTTATGTTAGTCAACAGATTATCGTCAACGTAATTTCGTCGTTGGCAGCCTAGTTGTAGGCAATGATTTTGTTGGAAGGCACGATCGCGATCGCTGTGCCAACAATCAATACCTACCCAGCAGAAAATCTGACTAGCTCAGAACTAGCATAGGACTAGACCTCTTGCCGACAGTACAAGTTCTACCTTAATACCCAATCAATGCTTTCAACTGTCCGGCGGCAATTGTCGCCGAATGTATTACTTTGCATCTAGTTTTTAACCAGTTCCGTTTTGGAGAGTTTTTTTATAAGAACACGTTTTCCGTTTTTTCTTTTCTTATACAAATTCCATTTTTGTTACACATTTTATTAAAAAAAAATATATTATAAGCGACACGAAACAATCTATAATCATTAAATATGAAAACTCACAACTGCCTCCAGCGCGATGTGAACTCGCGACCAGTGATGTTTGAGTCGGAGGTCTTCTCGCTGAGCTACTTTCGTATTGTTCGACAAGTGAGAATTTGTGCACTTACAGACACCGCATGTTTCAACTGTCCCGCTCTGCAGCCGTTTTGCACCAGTTCAGAGAGAGTTCTGAAATATGTAGTCCGGAACTAGCGCATTGCCAGACTGTCTCTAAATTTTACTGCAGGGTATTCAGAGATATGTATGTGCACTTGTAAATGGATATACATACATATATGCATGTATAATATATATTACGTACTGATAAGAAGCAGAAAAGCAATGAAATCAATTCGCGATTATTAAAATTTAAAGTGCATCACAGTATGTATATAGATAAAGTATACACAGTGGCGGATTTTCAGTCTCGTCCGCCATAGGCCCCATAGTGCCAGTCGCTCTTTTCCAGCTCCCATTATCTAGGTACTGCCGACTTTTTCAAAATACATATATTATGGTTAAAATAGCATCGGTCGCTGTGTTGCTTACTGCTAACATTTGTCGTTTTATACGAGGGATGCCCAGCGCTGGCAAAATTTTGCACTTGCTTATGGAGTTCTGTTTTATACCTTGTCGTTGAACAACAGACGATAGAATTGCTTTTGCAAATTTTTGAAAAAAAAAATGTCGCTAACTGGTTAAGAATCTCCCTCAGGTTAGTAGTAAAATAAAATGTATTGTTAAGTTCCTTCGACCTGGATTTTTTAAAACCATATAGCTTTAAAGGGTTAAGTTTCGCTATATTGAGTCTACAACTTTGTATTTGCTTTGGAGCGTGCACGTCTTGTTACCACCAATGTATTTCATTGGCATATTGGCTAGCCCTAAATCCGCCACTGAGTATATTCTCGTACCTTTGTTAGGAATAATCTGTTTACTATTGTTTCGACATGAATTACTCACATCTTCAATAAATTGCGATTGCATCATGGAAAACGTTCTACTTTCAATTCATTTGGGGAATTGCATTTACTTCTTATCTTTCTATGTATTCAATGAAACAAGACTAGATTCAATTAATTGTGTTACGTCAACATTTTAATCAAGAAAAAGCCATATTTAAAGATGCAAATATTCAATTCCCAGCTAAGTATGCATAAATAATTACCTAAACCGGCATAATTAAATGCACAGCCTTAGAAAGTTTGAATCGGCCTTCTTCAGATTATATCGACGGCTGAGTGGAAGATCGCCCTATCTCAAATGAGGTTTCGAAAACATCCTACCTCAGCAAACAGTTGGAAAGTGCTCTATTTCAAAATATGGTTTAAGAATGTCCTATCTCAGCAAATGGTGCGAGATTGGGCGTTTTCTGAACCAAATTCTGAGATAGTGCAAACTTCAACCAAACTCTCATATTGGGCGTCCTTCAACTGATTGCTGAGATAGGACGTTTCCAAATCAGCATCCCAGATAGGGCAATCTTCACTCAGCTGACGATAAACATACATTCGAGAAAAAGCGAGAACTTTAAGTTTCAAAGTCTGTTCCTGGTATCGTTTACAAGAAGGTATGTATAAGCCGATCTTTGGTACGATTACCCTTGGAGGAACAGTGCTTGAATACTCTGACAAAGTAAAATAAATTTCTTGGGGTAACCGTAAATAAAAAACTAAGTCGGAATTCCCATCTAGACAAACCTCTTAGTTACGCCACCCGGCGATATGGGCCTGTTTCTGGATAAACATGGGGTCCGAACTCCGAATTATTTAAACTCCTATATGGTACTATAGTCCGTCTAATTACAGGATCAGTGAGAACGTGTTCAACCGCGGTCTTACAGTCGATCCTGGGTTGGACTGCACCCCACATTTTTGTCCGAGCAGCAGAACCTTCAGTGAATTCACGAAAATACTGTTCATAACAAAACACAACTCAAAGGTATTTTAGGCAAAGTAACAGGTCTAGGAATTTGCGAGTTCTCTGAATCTATGCAAAAGTACATCTACTTTGAAAGGAAGGGAAGGTCTCGTCAAATGATTCACCTGAATTGGATCCCAGATATGTACACTGGTACACCGACGGATCAAACATGTCAGGCAGAGTAGATGCGAGTGTCTTTGGAACTGGCACCGAACTTTATATTGAAATATGTATGTATCTCAGGCCGAGGTACTAGCAATCTCAATTTTGGCCATATTAAACCAAAGAACGCCCTTTTTCAGAATTTGATTGAAAAACGCCCTATCTCAGCTGAAAATACATATGTGACCTGGTCTACGAAAAGGGAGCTTACGTGCGAAAACTAGTTTTCTGTGAAAAAGCTGTTAAAAGTAAGCAACTCGTTTCGTCAGTTTCTCATTATCTCGTTAATTGTTCTCCGCGCCGGACGTCCAGTAAGTGTTGTTGTTGGTCCNACCACGTGAAAAAGCATCTCATCTTCCATCCGAATCAACCAAAAAGTGAAAATTGATTTTTTGACACCTAAGCCCCCTTTCCGTAGACCAGGTCACATATATTGAAAATATTTTGAGATAGGGCATTTTTCAATCACATTCTGAAATACGGCGTTTTTCAACTAAATTCTGAAATAGGGCGTTCATGTAAAGTCCAGGAAGCCTTCACAGATTTGGACAATTAAAAGCATTTTTTTGATGTGAAACTTCTTTAGCGGCGGTTGGTTGGTTGGGAGTAAATTGGCAAATTCAACGCCAATTGCACACGGAAATGGTGCAACGGAAATGGTTAGGGCTTCTTGAGTATATGCACATGATATGAATTTAACAAAAACTTGTTAATGAAAGGTTAAAGAATAACACTTAGAAAAAGACCGCTACAAGAATGAAAGTAAAAATGTGTACGTACATAGATAAAGAAAAGTATAAGGCAAAGGTAAAAAACAAAGATGCGTAAAGATGAAGACAAAAATAAACTTCAAAGTAAATTTATACACTTTACAAATATAAGAGCAAAGGTGCATTCCCCTTCATGTAGATGAAGAAAATGATAAACATAAATGTAAAAACAAAGATAAATATAAAGAAAAAGATGAGGATGAGGATACCGATAACAGTAAAGATGAAGATAGAAGAACGATTAAAATAAAGGTAATAATCGAGAGAAGGTTATAGATAGAGACACAGAGACCCAATCTGGGAACTATTTTGAGATTCCAGTGATTTTCGGAATTCTCGGGACTTATCGATATAATAAGCGATATTTTTATCGGTTTTGTTATCGAAATTTTTTCCTATATTCCTGTCCATTTTGGTAACGATATCTTCGTAACGATATAATAATCGATATTTTCATCGAATTTGTTATCGATTTTGTAATCGATATTTTTAACGACTTTGTTATCGATAATGTTATTGGTTTTGTTATCGATATCGTTATAGGTCTTGTAGATATTTTTATCGATACCTTTATCGATTTTGTTATTGATTATTTATCAAACTTGCTATCGATTTCGTTATCAATTGTTTATCGATTTTGTTATCGATATTTTTATGGATTTTGTTGTCGAGATTTTTATCGATTTTCTAAGCGATTTTTGTTGTCGCTTATTTATCGATTTTGCTATCGATATTTTTATCGATTTTCTAATCGATTTATCAACCAATATTATTTATTTTGCTATCGAAATTTTCATCGAATTTGCCATTGATTTTGTTATCGATATTTTTATCGGTTTTATTATCGATATTCTGTTGGATGTTATTATCGATTTTTTTATCGATAGAGTATAAAGATAATAATGAAGGTAAAGGGAAACAGAATAACATAAATGTAATTGGAGCGAACAGGGGTAAGAGGTAGGGGTCTAGATAGAAGAAAAATACAAAAAATATAACCTTAAGCAGAAGCAGATGTACATATGTATCTATGTATATTGGTTATGAGACAAAATAGGCATGTAACGTAAGTTTCACTTCTCCAGTGTGGCCTAGGCGCACTTACTTTTTTTATTTTCATGCTGTTTAACAAACAGATCGTAAGTATAGCATATGAAAATTCATTCTTCAATAGACAGGTCTTTCGTTCATCAAATCGCCTTTTGAAAAGTGCTT